ATAAAAAAAGGAATCTTGAAATTAAAAAAAAATGCCATTTTTAATAGGTCTTATTAACAATTTTAGGCTATAACAATGAGGAAATACACAGCCCAGCTGTCACTCACAGCACTTGTGTGTTTTATGGGCACATTGCAATCTATTGCTGTTACTTTTGTGATGGAGCATAAGCCACATGTTTGGGCCATTGGGTTTGACATGAATCTCTTAGCTGCTGCGTATGCTGTAAGTTTATCTGAATTTATATTATTATTATTATTATTTTTTTTTTTGGTAAATTTTTGTTCAATATGTAGTAAAGAATTAAAGGGCCTCTATTTTTATTTATTTTTTATTTTTTATTTTTGGTTCAGGGGATTGTGTCATCAGGAATAGCATACTATGTGCAAGGGCTTGTGATGCAGAAAAGAGGGCCTGTGTTTGTGACTGCTTTCAGCCCATTGATGATGATCATTGTAGCCATAATGGGCTCCTTCATTTTGGCTGAAAAAATATATGTTGGAGGGTAAAGTCTCTAACTTGTGCAATTACCAAAACACCCTTTTGTGCCTGATTAGGAAAAAAAAAAAGAGTAACAATCAAAAATATTATAGTTCTATTTATTTTCTAATGTTATTTTTTCTTTTGCTGAATATAGGGTTCTTGGAGCAGTTTTAATTGTAATTGGGCTTTACTCTGTGCTGTGGGGAAAATACAAAGAGTACAAGGAGAAAGAAGAGGAAATTCTTGAACCAATCAAAGGTGACAATCACAATTTGGGCACTATTATTGAAGATATTGAGGCAAATACTTTTGTTCAGCCAAATAAAATGGAAGAAAAAGAAAATAGATTGTATGTGTCTCCAGTGACTATAAGTGCCCCAATGCCACAGCCCCCCATGCTAGCCTTAGAAGCCCCAAAGAATATAAATTAGGTGTACAGGGAAAACAAAAATGGGAAATTGGATAATTAATTATGGAAAGTTGAAGCAGGGGTTATTGGGTCATTGTAGCTTCAATGTT